TGGCAGTAACCTTTACTATGCTAATGTATTATGATTAGCATATAGTGAGCAGTGAGGACAACCAGTGGTCACCTGCATGACCATCTTGGTTTTAGTCAGCTTCTTTACTGCATCCTGTTTTGTCAGTGGAGATCTTTTAAGACCTGTATCTTGTGGAACCAGATCTATCGACCTCCTGTCTCAAACACACTTAAAATAATGGAAACCATACAGAATGTGTTCACTGATCACAATGGAATCAAACTAGAAATCGGTAACAGAAAGATAAAACAGGGAAATCTCCAGACAGAAACTAAAAGCACACACTTTTAAAACAATCCAACATTCAAAGTAGTAGTCACAAGGAAAGTATAAAAAAAAAAAACTTAATTAAATGAAAGTGAAAATACATGTGAAACTTAGTGGGGCACAGCTAAAGTAGTGCTGAAATGGGAAAATATATTTTATTTTATTATTACTATTTTTGAGACAGAATCTCACTCAGCAGTCCAGGCTGGAGTGCAGTGGCCTGATCTTGGCTCACCGCAACCTCTCCTTCCCAGGTTCAAGCAACCCTGCCTCAGCCTCCCGAGTAGCTGGGACTACACGCATGCATCACCATGCTGGGCTAATTTTTGTATTTTTAGTAGAGACAGGATTTCACCATGTTGGCCAGGCAGGTTTCTAACTCCTGGTTCAAGTGATCCGCCCGCCTCAGCCTCCCAAAGTACTGGGACTACACGCGTGAGCCACCGTGCCCAGCCTGAGACACGAAAATTTGGAGCACTAAATGCTTACCTTAGAAAAGGAAAAAAGTTTCAACTCAATAATCTAAGCACTCACCTCAAGAACTAGAGGAGCAAAATAAACCCAAAGCAAGCAAAAAAAGGAAGATACTAAAAAAGAAGAACAGAAATCAATGAAATTGCAAACAGAAAAACTGATGCAACAAAAAGCTGGCTTTTTGAGAAGATCAATAAATGTAACAATACTTTAGTGAGACTAACACAAAAAAAGAGAGAGAACACAAATACCCAATACCGGGAATAAAATAGGGGATAGCAACATAGACTCTGCAGACTCAAAAGGATAACGTAACAACCCTACACACATAAATGTGACAACCCAGACAAAATGAACCAAATTCTTCAAAAGCATAAACGACCATGATTCACCCAATATAACAGAGGTCTATTGAATACCCCTATAACTATGAAGGAAATTGAATCTGTAATGTAAAAACTCGGAAAGAAATCTACAGGATCAGGCAGTTTCACTGAAGAATTCTACTAAACATTTAAAAAATTAACACCAATGTACACAATCTCCTCCAGAATAGAGACGAGGAAACACTTGCCAACTCTTTTTATGAAGCCAGCATTATCTTGATACCACAAAAAGACACTACAAAAAAGAAAATTAGACAAACTCTTCTGAACAAAGATGCAAAAATCTTCAACAAAGTATTAATAAGCTGAATTCAGCAATATTTAAAAACAATAATACATTGCAACCAAGTAGACTTTATTCTGGGAATGCAAGGCTAGTTAAATACTCAAAAAGCAATCAATGTAATCCACCATATAAACACAACATAATATCAATTGATGCAGAAGAAATACTTGACAAAATTCAAGATTTGTGAGAAAACTCTGAGCAAACCACAAATAGAATGGGACTTCTTCGACCTGGTAAAAGGCACCTATAGGCCAAGCACAGTGGCTCACGTCTGTAATCCTAACACTCTGGGAGGCTGCAGCGGCAGATTGTCTGAGCTGAAGAGTTCGAAACCAGCCTGGACAACATGGTGAAACTCCGTCTCAACTAAAAATACAAAAAATTAACTGGGTGTGGGGGTGCTCACCTGTAATCCCAGCTACTCAGGAGACAGAGGCACAAGAATTGCTTGAACCAGGGAGGCAGAGGTTGCTGTGAGCTGAGATCATACCACTGCACTCCAGCCTGGATGACAGAGTGAGATTCTGTCTCAAAAAAAAAAAAAAAAAAGCATCTATAACATAAAACAATTCTGGAAGACTGCTTTCCTCAGATTGGGAACAAGATAAGGATATCTATTCTCACTACTCCTATTCATCATACATGAAGTTCTAGTCATTGTTATAGGAAACAAAAATAAATAAAACACAGATTAGGAAAAAAATAAAACTTTCTCTATTCACAAGTGACATGATTATCTCTGTAGAAAAACCCATGGAATCTACCAAAAATTTAAAAACCAAACCCTGAACTAATGAGTTTAGCAAAGTCAGAGGACATATGTACAACACACAAAATTCAATTGTATTTCCACATACAATGTACAATTTGAAACCAGTATTTTTTAGAATGAGATTTACAATAGCTCAAAAAACATTAAATACTTAGGTATAAATGTAACAAAACATGTACACAATCTGTATGCTGAAAACTATAAAACACTAAACAAATCAAAGACCTAAATAAATGGAAAGACATATCATGTTCATGGATTGGGAGACTCAACAAAGTAAACTTAGCAATTTTCCCTAAATTGATCTGTGGGTGTAATACAATTTCAGTCAAAGCACCAGCAAATTTTTCTGTATCCACAAGTTGATTCTAAACTTTATACACAAAGGTAAAAGAATCAGAATAGCTAAAACAATTTTGAAAAAGAATGAAACTGGAGGAAATTATACTACCTGGCTTTAAGACATTACAATGCTAAATTAACAAAGTGTGATACTGGCCAAGGGAAAGTTAAGTAAATCAGTGGAACAAAACAGGCCCAAAATAGACCCTCACAAATAAAGCCAATTGATTTTTAACAAAGGTGCAAAAGCAATTCAATGGAGAGAAGACAGTCTTTTCAACAAATGCTGATGGAACAACTGGACGTCCATAAGCAAAAAAGTAAACCTTCACACCTTATACAATTAACTCAAATGGATCACAGATCTAAATGGAATACTTTTATAAAACAATTTTTAGAAGGAGAAAATCTTGACCTGTTAGGCAGAGTTCTTAGACATGACACCAGAAGATCCATAAAAGGAAAAATTGATACTGGACTTCACCAAAATTAAAAACACTGCTGTCTGAAAGACACTGTTAGAATGAAAAGACAAGACAGACTGGAAGAAAATACCTGAAAAACATGTAACTGACATATTATTTGTATCCAGAACATAAAAAGAACCCTCAAAATTCAACATAAGAAAACAGACCAATTTAAAAATGGGCAAGAGACTTGGCCAGATACCTCACCAACGACTCCATGTGGCAAATGAACACATGAAAACATGTACAACATCTTTAGCCATTAGTTAAAGGCACATTAAAACCACAATGAGATACCACTACACACCTATTAAAATGGCTAAGTCTTAAAAAACTGACACTACCAAATGCTGGGAGTATGTGGAGCAACTAGAACTCTCACATGTTGCTTGTGGGAATGCAAAATGACACAGACACTCCAGAAAACAGTTTAACAGTGTTTTTTTTAAATTAAACATACATTTACCATATGACCCTGCAATCCACTTGTAGCAATACCCTAGAGAAATGAAAACATGTCCATACAAAAAACCTTTACATGGTATTTACAGCAGATTGATTCATAATCACAGAAAACTGAAAACAACCTCAATGTCCTTCAATGGGCAGATGTAGAAACAAACTGTAGCATTTCCACATAATAAAACAGTACTCAGCAATAAGAAAAGAAATTATCCATACATGAAACAACTTGGAAAAATCTTAAAGGCATTTTGCTGAGTGAAAAAAAAGCTAATATCCAAAGATTACCAACTGTTATGATTCCATTTCTAGAAAATATTAATAATTGCCAGGGGTAAGGAGTATGATATAAAGGGATCACATTAGGTTTTTTTTTTTTTTCTGTGAGGGCAGGGAGTGATAGATTTGTTCTACATCCTTATTGTAGTGGTGGTTACATGAGTCTAAAATTCGCAGAACTGTACACCGAAAAAAAGATCAATTTTACCATATACTTTTAAAAATAATACATTAATTTCCTTAAAATAAATTTAAAGAGGCCGGGCGCGGTGGCTCAAGCCTGTAATCCCAGCACTTTGGGAGGCCGAGACGGGTGGATCATGAGGTCAGGAGAGCGAGACCATCCTGGCTAACATGGTGAAACCCCGTCTCTACTAAGAAATAAAAAAAAAAAAAAAAAAAATAGCCGGGCGAAGTGGCAGGCGCCTGTAGTCCCAGCTACTCGGGAGGCTGAGGCCGGAGAATGGCGTGAACCCGGGAGGCGGAGCTTGCAGTGAACTGAGATCTGGCCACTGCACTCCAGCCTGGGCGACAGAGCGAGACTCCGTCTCAAAAATAAATAAATAAATAAATTTAAAGAAAAAAGCCAAATTAAATGTTAACAGGCAGTCAGACTCTTGCTTTTCAGAAACTACTCCATAGACTTAAAGCACTAGGTCAAAACAATTACGTTCCTAGAAATAAGCATAATTCTAAGTATAATTAAAGACCTTGACAATAATACTTTATATAAACACCCTTTCCCCAAAACTTAACATTTTGCTAATGCAGTCTAATAAATTAGAAAAACAAAGGGTGAGTTAACTCACCAATCAAAAGGTTGTTTTCTCACAACGGCCTTTATTTAAGTAGAAGTACAGTTATATTTGTAAAAATACTGAAAAACTTCTTAGGGTCAGTGAAATTACCTGGATGTTAGGAGATATATAAAAACCTAGAGAAGTTAACAGCCCTTTTCAGACCCCACTGCCACTTCACTAGCTCTTGATAAGGAAGTTCTTACTCTCACACGCTCTCACGTTCTTACTCCAGGGAACTGCCGATGGCTCCTCAGATCTCCGAGTAAAGTTAAGTCTGTAGCAACCAGTGTCAATGGAACAGCACAATTTGGCTCATTTATATTCCAGCACTCTATGAGCAAGAAGCTAGGGAAGGGTGGGGTCGCGGATAAAGAGGGGTCGCACTGCAGGGAGAAGAGGAGTCTACATGCCTTGATGGAGCTGAGGACCCTCTTCGCCGTCAAACCTAACCTGAGCACTTCACGCCCTCACCGGTGTCCGGCCCAGCTTGGGTCGACCCTTCCCCATTCAGGACTTGGGGCAGGCAAAAAGCCGAACTCTCGGCCAGACTGGGGCCGCAGCGCCGCCCCCGCTCCATCCCTCTTTCCCGCCCACCTGGCAATTCCAGGTACCGACCGCTGGGAGCTGGGAGGGGGCGCCGGGCTGGCGCTGCCGCCCACCTTCTCTAGCTGGAACTTGGGATCGGTGCTCAAGGGCGGGAGAGCCGGCGCTCGGCTGTTCGAACCCGGGGATGGGGGAGCCGGGCCTGGAGGCCCCTGCCCACTCCCGAGAGTGAGGCACAACCCGGGACCCCGGGGAGAAGCTGACTCTTCCCCAGTGGAGCCGGACGAACCCCAGCCGCTGGAGAGGGCGAGTGAGTGCAGCGCCGCTGCACCGCAGCGCGAGCCGCTACTCACCGTCCCCCGCCCGCCGCGGACCCGCCGCCCGGCGCCACCGGCTCCTCCTGGTCGCGGCGCAACCGCTGCCGCCGCTGCCTCCTCCCGACGCGCCAGTTCTCCCTGCGGGGCCGCGCGGCTAGTTCGCACCCTCTTTCGCTCTCTTAAGAATGATTATGATTTTTAAACGAACTTTATTGGTAGCCAGGGCTCAGATTGAGTGCCTCAGCAGCAGCTCCGATGGGGATGGTGAGGCGCGGGAGTCTCGACTCCCCTCATCTGTGGACCCGCCGCGCTGCGGAGCATGCGCCGTGCTTCGTTTGCGCGTGCTCTGTGCAGACCAGCGGCCCTGCCCCGCCCATGTTCTGGCGGGTGGCGGGCGGCAGCTCAGCTTTCCAGGCGCCTCCAAGGGATCCCGGGAGGGCAGTGGGGAGACCAGAGGCGAGCAGGATCTCCTAGATCGTGAACTCTAGAAAAGAGAAATAGGCCAATGACGGTCTGCATAAGTTTCACAGAGTTATCACACTTCCAGAGTCCTCAAAGGGCTTGCCCCGCATCGGACACATACCTTATTTTCTTGACCAGATGACATCTTAAGTGGCCGAGTGAGCAAAAAATGTCGAACAAAGTCGAAAACGCACACACACAGCCTGCAGGATTTGGCTGGACAAAATAGAAGCCTGAGATGGTTAATTATTCAGAGAAGCAAACCAAAAACGAAAAGGTCCCGCAAAAGCAATCTCAACTTTGTTTGCTTCAGTTGTTTTTATATTTCAAAATAAAATAGAATAGAAAAAAAAGATGGAAAATACCAAGTGTTGGCCAGGTTGTAAAGTCACTGCATTCTTCTACTCTGCTGCTGGAATGTAAACTGGAACAACTCCTTTGAACAACAGTTTGGGACTGTCTGCAAAAGATGCATACCCTATGGCCCCGCAGTTCCACGCCTCCATATAGAGCAAAGAGAAACGAATACTTAGGGTGCACCGACAGTCAGGTATCAGAATGTTCGTAGCTGCATTTATTGTAATAATTCCTTAATGAGAATAACCCAAAAGACCATCAACAATAGAATAAATGAATGAAATTACACAGGGTTCGCATAATAAAACACTATACAGCAACGCAAAGAACCATCTGCAATAATTACGGGCAACAACGTGGATCAACTGCGGAAACCTAATGCCCAGCATAAAAAGACAACAAAAGTACACATGGCATAAGTCCATTTCTATAAAGTACAAAAACAGAAGAACTAAGCTGCTCAAAGTTAGCATAATGGTTACCTTGGTGGGCAGGGGATAGTGACTGGAAGGAGTTAGCAACTAGAAGAGGGGCTTCCAGTTAGCAACTGAAAGAGGGGCTTCCTTCTAGTAAGGTTCTCTCTGTTGATTTTGGCGCTAGTTATAAAAGCATGTCCATTTGTGAAAATTCATGCTGTACTCTTATGCACATTTTTCTGTATGTGAATTATACTTCACACTTAATAATTTTAAAAATTAAGTGGAGATTGTTTTACTTATAATAGCAATAGTATTTGTAAGAAATTTAATATCAAGTAGCTAACAGATTTATCTCTAGGATTTGGTTGGCAGTCTCTTAAATTTGAGTAACATACTGATGTCCTTTCTGAGAAAGAAAAAAAAATGATTAAAAAGTTGGCAAATGACTTGAATAGACATTTCTCCAAAGAAGATATACAAATAGCCAATGAGCCCATGAAAAGAGACTCAAGGTCACTAATCATGAGGGAAATGCAACTCAAAACCATGAGATACAACTTCACACTCATTAGAATGATGATTATAAACAAAGCAAAACAGAAAATAAATAAGAGTGTTGGCAAGGATGTGGAAAAATTACAACCTTTGTGTGCTGCTGGTGGGAATGTAAAATGGTACAGCCACTATGGAAAATTGTATGGTTCATCAGAATATGAAAAATAGAATTATCATATGATTAAATAATTCCACTTCTGAGTATATATCCAAAAGAATTGAAAACAGGGACTCAAAAGAGACATTTGTTCAACCATGTTTATAGCAGCATTATTCACGATAGCCAAAGGGTGGAAGCAACCCAAGTGTCCATCAATGGATGAATGGATGAACAAAGTGGTATATACATGCAGTAAAATATTATTCAGCCTTAAAAAAGGAGGGACCCAGGCGTGGCGATGTATCCCTGTAATCCCAGCTACTTAGGAGGCTGAGATGGGAGGATCACTTGAATCCAGGAGTTCAAGACCAGCCTGGGCAAATCCTGTCTCAAAAATAAGAGAGAGGGAAATTCTGACACATGTTACAGCATGGATGAAGCTTGAAGACATTATGCCTAGTCACAAAAGGACAAATGCTGTATGATTCAACTTATCTAAGGTACATAGAGTAGTCAAATTCATAGATACAGTTGGGGGGTGGGAAGTGGTTGTGGGGAAGGAAGGGCAGGTGGTGAATGGGGAGTGAGTGTTTTATGTCTACAGTTTTAGCTTTCCAAGATGAAAAAAGTCTGGAGATAGATGGTGGTGATGGTTGCACAATGATGTGAATATACCTGATGCTCTTGAACTTTATACTTAAAAATGGCTAAAAATGATAAATGTTATGTTTTATGTATATCTTGCCAAATTTCTTTTTAATGGGAGAAAAAAAAAAAAGAAAATCCTAGAGGGTCTCAAGAGAGTACGTCTGAGATCCAAATTTGAGAAAAACTTCCTGAAAAAGGGTTCTCCCAAAATCATTTCTTTACTCCCCACTTTTCCATTTCGTTGGGACTGTTGGACATTGAAGGAGATCCAGAATATGCCACCCCAAAATATGCCACTTTGTCATAAGGATTATTTTGAGCTGAAGGCAATTAAGAAACAGCAGAACAGAAGAAACACTCTGCTTTTCCCATTTCTGCCTAAAAGCAGGCTATAAATTTCCCTTTGTGAAGCTGTTCCTCCTCCCATCCCATACTAGGAGGAGGAGATTCCTATCACCAAAGCACCAACTTGAGTCATATGGCAAACCTTGCAAAATAACCTTTGTCTTCCAATAGTTCCCCTCATATAGTTTAATCGGCCACAATTTACCACCTTCACAAGTCCCACCCCTTTTTCCTTTGTCTTATCACTTCTCCACAATTTATCACCGTTTTAAAAAATGGTATATAAGTTCTTAGGCCTAACTGTTTTTGGGATTTTCACTTCTTTTCTGTGAGGCCCCCCATGTGCATATGAAATAAACCTTTTCTCCTGTTTGTCTGTCATTTGTCAATTTAATTTGCAGGCTTCTGCTACTGAACTTACAAGAGTAGAGAAAAAGTGTTTATCCTCCCTGCAGACATGCTCAGTGCAATTAAAGTCTACTTTTTATTTGACTTGAGGCTGCTCCCAAGGACACAGCAGAGATTCTCATGCTCTCACTGAAGCCAGTGAAATAATGAAAGCCTGCAGGGAAACCTGGCCTTTTAAATCATGTAGTTGTGCTATAGTAGAAATAGCAACAGAATTAACCTAAAAGGGTTTGAAAGAAATTTTACCTGCAGTGACTAGAAATGAGTTTCACAAAATTATTTTAATGAAAACATTCTGAAACGTTAGTTATTAAGTCATTAAATGATTGTTTGAATCTAGTACCTCCGCTGACCCAGCAAAAAATGTCCATTTAGTCCCTTGCTCGTTCTTTCATTGTGTCTGACTCTGATGAGCTGAATAGTGTCCAAGGATCATGAATTGTAGCTGAGTTGAAAGAAAAACAGAAAAATCAAAAAATATTTTCTTCCAAGAAAGAAACCTTTGAAAATTTTTACCACTTAGAATGTAAGTCTGCATATAAATGTGAATGCATATGTGGCCATCTGGAAAAACCTAGTAGAAATCACAGTATTGGTCTAGACAGTAATAATCTACTGTTCTTCAGAATCATACAGACCATCCTGGAAAAAAATTTTTTTTCTAGTACTTTCTAGCCAGACATTAGAATACTGATCCAGTTCCTCTGTTGCTTAAGCTTGGATCTTAGTATCCTCATCTATACTAAGGAGTTACCCACCTTACAAGGTCATTTATCCATTCAAAAAAATATGTATTGTGCGGACTACTGTGCTGAACATTGTGTATTCAGTAATAGACAAAAGGCAGATGGTTTGTGTCCTCTGGGAGCTTATAATGTCTTAAGGGAGACCAAAAAAGAAAGTATACAAATATACACATATGCACACATATACATAAATAAATGATTACATACCCTTAGACATTATGTGAAAGTAAATAACTGGTATGATGGAAGCGTGTAAGAGGGAGCCCTAATTTATGCTGGAGAACCAAGGGAAGGCCTTTCTGATATAGTGATTTTTAAGCTGTAATCTGAAAGATAAATGAGTTAGGTAAAAAATAGACAGAAAAAGACTTTAAGCAGAGACAACAGGAAGTACGATGGCCTGAGGCAGCAAACAACTCACTGGGTTGAAATAATTGAAAGGGAGCCAGTATGCAGGAGTGAGGTGGAAAGCAGCGGGTAAAAAATAAAGAATAGTAGTGAGGGAGGCAGGGGGCAGATCATGAAGACCTTGCAGGTCACGTTAGGTAATTTGGATTTTATCTCAAGTGTATTGGGAAGCCACTGGAGGATTTTTTAGTGCACAGACTAGGAGATTCACTGAACAGTTTTAAAAAATTCCTCTGACTGCCATCTAGGGAAAACACAGAGTAGTGGAAAATGGGAGAGCAATGGAAGGGCGGTTCAGG